CTGTTCAGTGTTGCTTTCTGTGTCGCTGTCCTCCCGGGGTAATGCTGGCTCTGAAGCTGTGGTGCCCTCTTCACGTAGCAGTCCAGCCTTTCAGAACCTAGGCCGAGCTTACGTGCAGTGGCTCTATTTCCCTCCTGTTGTGCARATTCGATAGCCTTCAACTTAAAAGCGGCATCAGAGAAAGATCTTCTATTCTTTTCCACGATGAGCACTTTTGAATTTGAAGAGAAATATTTCATCGTGTCTGTCGAAGATTAATCCATCGTGTCGTGTCTGCTACTAGCTAAAACAATATGGTGCTTCTTCTTCTTCTTCTTCTTCCTTTTACTCACAGCTACTACACCTCCGGCTAAAGAGCCCCCTGGTGGCTGAAGAAAAAAATCCACATATAAGCCGCACTGGACTATAAGCTGCATGGCTCAAAGTTAAGGAAAAAAGTCTGGCTTATAGTCCGAAAAATACGGTATTTAAATGGAGGCGTGTCGGGGAGGGGTCTCAGGTGCGCTCAGCTCCATATTTGTTGGGATATTTAAAGGAAAGGTGTGCAGAAATTGCGTATGCACGGTTTGATAAATCTGAATTTTTGTGTGTGTATGTTTCCCAACTTTCGGTATGAAGCTCATGGGGGCCATCAGTTTTTGTTGCCTTTTGTACTTTTTAACATTAATAATCCTGTTTCTGAGATCTTCAAACCCTACTGCTGTAACCCCTCCAGAGCATGACGCTACCTCTACCATGCTTCACTGTTGGGATGGTCCTGGCAGTTCCTCTAACCTCGTGGCTCAAAGTTTTGCTTTGATTGACAGCTTGGAGGCTTTGCATGGGGAACTGTGGTCCTTTCTAAAACATGTCCAATTTATCATTTTCCACAGGTGGACCACAATCAAAGTGTAGAAACATTTCAGTAGAGATCAAAAGAAATGGGAGGGACCCTGAAAGGAATAAGTGTGTACAGAAAATGGATGGATGGATGGATGGATGGATGGATGGATGGGGTTAACCCATAACTTATACCATAGCTCTTTTTTATATGGGCTCACATTTTATTCATTCTGTCTTCACTTCAAAGTTCTAAAGAGAGATTATCGAAGGAAAAGGGTGAATGTAATGATTGTATTTCCAAGCTGTGACATGACAAAACTGCCAAAACTGGAAGTTCTGAATGTGTTTTGATGCAGCTGTATGCCTAACAGTATAACTTAATACCTCAATTCACAGTTCTCTTTCAGTGTGACATTAAAATGTGTCGCTGTCAATCCTAAGGCTAATAAAGAAGAGTTCAGTCACCCAGCATGAAGAAACAGAGACAGCCACAGCCGGGAAACCTGATCAGGGATCTCTGGATTGAGGAAAGGCAGCAGTCCACACACATCGTCCATACAGGCCACCTGAGAGACATGAAGAAAGTCCAACATCATGAAGTGTACAACCCAAACTCTCCAGTGACAAAACACCAGRGAGCTCCAGTGGCGCAACAGGTTAGCGTGCAGTACTTATAAGACAGTTGCCTGCAGAGACATACTGAGGTTGTGAGTTCGAGCCTCACCTGGAGRAGTYAGGTTTWAAATAAACCTGCTGGAAGAGACAACTTGTCATTCTGTCCTACCTGTGAGCAGAGAGTGGCCTCCTCYTGAAAGTAACCTTGCATGAAGTCGCAGTACTCTCTGGAGGTGATTTCACACCTGAAACCCAAAGTGTATATTTCACCTGATAGTTAATGATCCAGAAAATATCCCACAATTCAAGCAATCCAATCCCAGATAATGTGAGTGAGGTGCATTTCTTCCCATTTGTAAATCCATTAAAAAAAAACACATCATATTGAAGTACTGTCTTTAATTCTTGTGTGTTTCAGAGCATCAAACTGTGCTGAGCTCCATGTAATCTGAGTTGAACCCAAATAGACCAGAGCTCAGGATGATCAAACACAATGCAGAGAATGAAATATTAATGTTAAAAATTTATTTATGAATTAAAAGTGTGTTA